GCTCCATCACATTTCAAGTCAGATGCTTGGATGCATTTTGGGTTTAAAAACAAAGAAGGTAAAAATGAAATTGATATGATGCAATAAATACAGCTATGTATGAATTCAGTTGCTTTCAGTTCTGTATCAATTGAAGACACGATCCAGATCACACCCAGCCAGTCAGCCACTGGTAAGGGCGGGATCTTTTTCTTACAGAGTTCAGTGAAAATATCACAATGCATCGCAATATTTCAAGTATCGTGACGCATCGTGATAGAATCGCATCGTGACTTCTTTGCCGATACCCACCCCTAAGGAGCATGCCCCGACGTTGTCAGACATGCATAAACCCATGTGGGAGCCATACCAATGACTGAATACCATTTTGAGTTGCTGCAATGAAATTTCACCAAATGGACTAACCTGCTGCATCATTTTTTCACTGTAATTTTTGGGATGTCTTTGAATTCAGCCCTCTGTAGGTTGATCGTTTTCATTTCCATCATATGATGCAGCATCCTTTGTTCCTAACACATCACCCGGTCCATATCAGGATTAATAAACAGCAGGATATTTTGCCCCGTTGAGATCTGATGTGTTTTCAAAGTGTACATATATATATCATCATCATCATCACTATAGAGTAGAAGCTAACATGTTTGCTTCCACTGATTTAGCCACATCACTCAGCTTCAGGTGTTAAACAACATTTTTATCCTTTGATTTAGTCAAACTCAAACAGATTCTGATGTTGTTGATTATTCATGAACTTCTTACTTGATGTAGTAGGGCTCTCCTGAGTCACTGTAGGCTAGCTCCCAGTTATCAGGAAGTGGACCTCCCCCTCTTCCTCTTCCCAATCCTCTGCCTCCTGCTCCGTTCTCCATTCCCTCCCGACTGCTGGCCGTCGAGTCCCACGATTGGCTGAGCGGCAGCGCCGTGGGCGGGGCTGGCCCTGCAGAAACGGCCTGGTTAGGATTTAACCTCACCTGTGCAGGTGCAGGACACGGAGCGGGTTTTCTACCTGACGGCCCGCTCTCCTCCTCGCTGTTTTCTCCTTCCTCCGCTGCCTTCTCCAGGTTACTCAGAGACTTGCTCCTCGTCCTGAAGTTCCTCAGCAGGTTGCGATGTTCTTGGTATGTGATTGGCGGACTCTCTGGTCCGATATGTACGGGACGGGGTGTTCCGTAATAGTTCCCTATGATAAAGACAAGGTGAAAGGAGGCGTCATACTCAGTGGTTTGATTAGATTTAGATGGGGCTTTGGTTGCTTCCCTCAGATCTTTGAGACTAAGATAGGAAAGCTGTGAGTCATCGATTGATGTCTACATGGTAAACACTTTTGGCTTCTATAGTTTAGGGAATTACCGGACGTCCTG